CCTCACTAGTAACCTGGCAGGGGTCATCGCCAGCAACATGATCCAGGCAGCCATCGCAGGAGCCATGCAGCCCCGCCCACCGCAAGGCCCTCGGAGAGAGAGCGGCCCACGGGCAGGAGCCGCTCCGAGGGGATACAGGAAGCAGTCGAGCTCGGAGCTAGACACAGACCTGGACTTTGATGGCGAGGACTTTGAGATGTTGGATCAGTCCGAGCTGAACCAGTTGGATCCCTTTGGAGGGGGGCAGGGGGGCCAAAACAGAACCCAGGGATCCAATTTCCTGTCCGACTTGCTGGGGAAGCCACAGTGAGCCCATCTTACAGATACTCCCTCCGTCTGTCTGCTCCTCGTGTCCCTCGCACCTTGATCCGAGTAGAAGTTTGCAGTGTTGGTTTGAATGTCTACTGAGATGCTTTCGATTTATCTGAGTGAGTGCGACGGAGAGAGAGGGTATTTTGTTTTGCACTGTTAATGTAATATTAGATTCACTTGCCAGGTTTCCTCCACTGGCTGCAGTTGATATCACTGTGAAGTAATCTTGTTTGTAGTCTGAATCTTCTCTGTTTATGCTCCGTGAGCTTCCATGTCCTCTCTCATTTGTGTGTGAAAGACTCCGATTTACTTTGTAGGCTAAGCAATAGGACACCAATCATAGAACCATTTAAAAAGATCCAAAATCTCTAAAACTTCTTAGAAACCAGCAAAACAAATACCAGATCTTTTTACTACATCCAAGTCTTATAGATCTTTCACATCAGTCGCTGTATTGTTAGTGTCCTCAATAATAACACATGGGACCAAATCAGACATTCCATCATCAATGCAAAGTCAAGACCCTTAGGTTATACATATATGAAGACGCCTGTAATAAAGAAATCTACAGTCAAGACATCGCTGAGCAGAGGAGTCTGATGAAGTAGTAGTGACATATTAAGGCCGCAGCCTCATCTCTTGTTTTTTTAAAGTGGTAGTTCACCCAAAAATCTAAATTCTGTCATCGTTTACTCACGCTCATGCCATTTCTAAAGCTGTATGACATTCTTTCTTCTGTAAAACATACAAGAAGACATTTTGAGAAATGTCTCAGTGTTTTTTGTCTAGACAATGGAAGTCAATGGCAACAAAAGCTGTTCGGTTACCATCATTCCACAGAAGAAAACAAGTCTTAAGGATTTGGAACAACACGAGGGCTGAGTAAATGATGACATAAATTTATTTTTTGGGTGGCCTGTCACTTTAAGACTCTGAGACATTAACTTTTCTTAAAGGGATAGTTCACCCAAAAATGAAAATTTGATGTTTATCTGCTTACCCCCAGGGCATCCAAGATGTAGGTGACTGTTTCTTCAGTAGAACACAAACTGAGATTTTTAACTCAAACCGTTGCAGTCTGTCAGTCTTATATTGGAGGTGAATGGGAATCACGGCTTTGAGAGTAAAAAAAACATACACAAACAAAACCAAATTAAACCCTGCGGCTCATGACGATATACTGATGTGCAAAGACAAGAGATGATCGGTCTGTGCAAGAAACTGAACAGTATTTCTATCGTTTTTTACCTCTGATTCACCGCAATGTCCGAACTGTCCTGAGCGCGTTCTTGACAGCCGGTGCGTGATGTGTCTTCTTCTTCTTGCTTTATGGCGGATCGCAGACTTATAAGTGCATTACTGCCACCTATCTCTCAAATGGACCATTGACACTCCTAATTGAGATTGTAGATAGAGTGTCAATGGTCCATTTGAGAGATAGGTGGCAGTAATGCACTTATAAGTCTGCGATCCGCCATAAAGCAAGAAGAAAAAACCGTCAGGTGCCGGCTGTTGAACGCGCTCAGGACGCGCTCAGGACAGTTCGGACATTGTGGTGAATCAATGGTAAAAAACAATATAAATACTGTTTAGTTTCTTGCACAGACCGATCGTTTTGTGTCTTAAGACCTCAATGTATCGTCACGAGCCGCAGGGTTTAATTTGGTTTTGTCTGTGTATGTTTTTTTTACTCTCAAAGCCATGGAACCCATCGACTGCCATTATATGACTGACAGACTGCAACGGTTTGAGTTAAAAATCTTCATTTGTGTTCTACTGAAGAAACAAAGTCATCTACATCTTGGATGCCCTGGGTAAGCAGATAAACTACATCTTGAATGCCCTGGGGGTAAGCAGATAAACATAACATTTTTATTTTTGGGTGAACTATCACTTTAAGGTCACTGAGTGATAAACAGCAGTCAGGTTATCTCATTTTGCCATATAGTGGTGAATTCAGGTAAATTGGGATGCTTTTTATCATTGAAACGACGGGGGAAAATGTCCCAAATAACTTGAATTCACCTTGTTTGCACCTGTTTTTCCCCCATTTGTTTATTTCTTTATGTGGTAACTGCACATAATTTTTCATTATTTTTATCTGATGGCAATGAAAATTTCTTAAATCAGGAGTGATATAATAAAATGTATTCATTATATATCATTGCCCAGCAATTTTAATCTCAACAAGATTTTAAATTAGTAGTCAAGACAGTTTTTTGGAAGATGTTTCTTCCACAATGATATTTACATTTAAGTTCATACAGGCTGGATTTTTTTCTGCATTACTTGAAAACAACATGTTAATAAATGACAGTAGCTGTTTCCAAAAAAATTTAAAGACCTCTGTTGTAAAAATTGGGAAAATTACAGTATATTGTCTTTCAAATGACTGTTCTTTGTCTGTTCGTCAGTCAAATTGAAAAAAATAAAATCAAACAATACCAACTCGTTTAACAGCTCATCAATGCTGTTCATCTGGATAATATGGCAGTACATTGCTTTTGTTTGTAATGACTCTACCTCAAACAAGACGTTCGGCTGTAACTGCCACCTGTTTGTACATGGCCTCCTCTCTTCAAACACACCTTTAACCGTTCTGACTTTATGCAGGAACTTTTATACAGGTAGCAGCAGAAAAACCGTAGATCTCTGCATCCTCTCTTTTCATCTGGTCTGGTCTGATATGAGATTTAGGGCAAAGTCTAACATTCAGTACAGTACTAAAGCGCAAAGGATTTGAGAAAACGCCTTTATTTCTTCCTTTCTTGTGTTATGATGAAGCTGGTGGAATTAAGTTGAATTTGCTGTTTCTTTAGTAGATGCTGATCATTTTTTGTTTCACTGCACTTTTTCGGTTTCTGACCTAATGCTAATGAGACCCATCATTGCTGGCTTTAAGCTTTCATTATTGTATACGCTGGAAAGTAGGAAACGTACCGGAAAACTGCTGTACTGATAAAAAGGCATTCTGTTACCAGAGATCAGTGAAGTGTTTTCTATTTTCCAAGCATTCATTGGTTTTCTCATTTTAATTTAAGGTAATGGAGCGTTTAGGAATTATAAGGAAGCATCTTGTCTTTCTCATGTGTATTCACAGTCTGTCACTTCCTGCTATTCCAGTTTGTTTATTACATTTCAAACCCAAGTCTTACTTTATCCAGCCAACTTGAGTTAGGTTAGAAGAGCAGTACTGTTTATTGGAGTGTTTCATATTTTGTCACTTTTCTGTGATTTTTATTCAACTTCTTTTCTTTTTTTCCTGTTTTGTTTTTGTTTGGTTGTGAGCCCTAATTGCTGAATTGCGGATGATATTTTTTGGATTGCTGTGTTAAAAAAGGTTTGATTTATTTATTTTATTTTTTTTGGGTGTTATACGTGACATTGAAGTGTAATGCATAGTAGGTTCATAGATTGGAAAGCCTTTTATTTTTCCCCTTTTTACTTTGTTTATAGTTAATTCTATTATTAATAATACTTAACTATTTATATGGACACACTCTTTTATGAATATTGATTCATTTATCAATACTTACAGATTATCAATACTTCTTTTGAAAAAAGCATGAGAAGATTTTTGTTTGTAAGTGTGTCAGTGTGATTACTATTCAATGCAAAAATGCTCTGGCCATTTTAGCCATTCACCTTTTTGTGGTCAATTTCAACAAAAATCACCAGCAATTCAAATGGGACAATGAAGTGGTGGTTTATATACTGGAAGAAAATTATGCCCAGCGTCATCTATTGATGTTGTATTGATGTTAGTGATTTAAATCAGTTAGCAGTCTACCATGTTGAGGCAAATGCAAAATACAGAATCACTCGTCTTTTCTTTATTTGTGTGAGCATTTTACAGGAGTCTTTCTGTAGCTGGATTCTGCAGTGATTTTTATTTCTGTACACAACTATTTCCCTCTTCCATTCTCTGTAACTGGTTTTTGATAACTTTTGATGTGCAAGACAATAAAGAGACGAATGAATGTTCTTTAAGTAAAAAGTGTGATTTTTCTTCTGTTAGTTAGGCCTATTGGATACATTTAGTTTTGTTTTGCGACCTATTGACCAAATAAAAATGTTCTAGTCTAATTTGCAATAACAATGACTATTATTAACACCGAAATAACACGTTTTAGTAAGATTTAAAAAAAAGAATAAAAAAAAATCTGTTGTGGAAGGCAATACAATAATAAAAAAAAAAAAACAAGTGAACATGGTTAATCTTAACTAGCTCTACTTCTACAGCAAATTATATTTCACGAATGTACAAATTACAGTCAATCAACTTTTTACATGAAACTGGCAGTGGCAAGTTGTTTTAATTCATTTAGAAATATTATAAACAGTATGGATAATTTGAAAAAAGCCTTCATTAAATGTTTACCAATATACAATTTTTTAAGCAATTCTATGTTGTTGTACAAAAAGCAAAAAAATAAAAATAAAGATGCAGAAGAATGCATTAACGAAGGGCATTTTATAATAATAAAAAAATTAATAATTATATAATTTATAAATTTATTTATTAATTTTAATTGTGATTTTTAAATGTATAAACGAATTAGAAGTGTATATACATTATACATAATGTGTGCATTATACATGATAATGGCACACTGTTTTATACACAATGACACACATATATTCATAACCAGAAGATCCAACACACCATCAAAATGACCTTCAAGTTCACGTGCGTGTCGTCGTCACTGGTGCTCCCACAATTCAACTCGGCGCGCGCGCGAAAGCTGCCTGAGGTAAACAACAGAAGAGTGCAGCTCGCTGACAGACCTAGACCGAGGAAACAATGAGCAAAAAAGACAGTGCTGGTACGCGATGCTTCTTATACTTACACTACTGAACATTTTATGCCTTCATTTAATTGTGATTTCATAAATGGTAACGTTATAGCACAACGCTACAATACAACAATCAGCTTATACTACACCAGATTTCCATCTTTGTCTCCCGCACAGGTGTCGCACAGATCCTCGCTTACCTGAATGAGAAAAACAGACCCTATAGTGCTCAGGATGTCTTTACAAACCTACAGAAGCAGGGTGGTCTGGGTAAAACGGTAAAAAGCAACATTACATTTCAGATTTAAAACGTTCTGCTTTGATGACATCTGTCCAGTGTGTGATAATACAAGAGCTCTTTGTGGTGTTCACCACCGGTGTGTTAAATGTGATAGTTTAATATTACAGTTTGTATACAGAGTGTGTTATGTTATATGACTGTGATATTAAACGCCTTTATTTTCTCAGGCTGTGGTCAAAGCAATGGAGCAGCTGGCCCAGGAGGGAAAGATTCAAGAGAAAGTCTATGGAAAGCAGAAGATCTACTTTGCAGATCAGGTTGGTCTGATTAGGATGGAGACAGTTTGCTGTTAATACGAAGAGAACTGGTGTTGGGTAGTCAGCCTGACAGATGTCCTTTCTAACCCTTCAGTCTCAGTTTGCGGATGTGAGTGATGCTGAACTTAAGGAGATGGATGCTCGTGTTGCACAACTCGGTGCTGAAGTACAGACCATCTCACAGAGCTGCAGGCAGCTGGATACAGGTGTGCACTGCTGGGAAAAGACGTGTGGTTTGAACTTGTGCACACAGACTGTTTGTATTTGATAAAAAGTTCATCTTTTTGCCCTCAGAACTGAAGGAGCTGAACAGCTCATTAACCACAGCAGAGATGAAGGCACAGATCCAGGAGCTGCAGGCAGAGTGCTCTGGGTACAGAGAGAGGCTGGATAAAATCAAGTCAGCTACAAACCATGTGACCCCTGAGGAGAAGCAGAAGGTTAGAAATCACTGTGTTCTTTAATATCTGGTGATCTTTTGGCCTCGGCACCATTTGACAAATTCACCATGCAGGATCTATTCTGGGATCAACAGTAGGTCAGACTAGTGGTTCATATTTTTACTTCCTGCCAGCATTTTTACCTCAGACCCACCAAAAAATGATAGTTTATTTTTATGCAATACATGTCAGGAAATATATATTTATAATTTATTTTAGAAAAATATTTTATTGACCCTAAACTTTTGAACAGTAGTGTGTTTGCATGTATGACAGTAATGTTAAACTATTCCTATTTCAAATAAATGTTGTTCTTTTGCACTTTGTTTATCAAAGAATCATGCTTAAATATTAAGCAGCACAACTATTTCTAACATTGATAATAATAAGAAATGTTTCTTGAGCAGCAAATCAGAATATTAGATTGATTTCTGAAGGATCATGTGACACTGAAGACTGGAGTAATTTTGCTGAAAATTCAGCTTTGCCATTACAGGAATAAAATATATTTCAAAATATATTCAAATAGTAAAGTTATTTCAAATTGTAACTATTTCATTACTTTAACTGCATTTTTCATCAATCGTTTGAACAAAAAATTCTGCAATAATATCTGGAATTATACAGCTATATTGTAACTCCATGACCGCTATTAAAAAACTATTTTGCTGAAAACTGGCATATTGTGAAAAACATTTTCTCTTAAGTCTCACAACTTTGCTCATGGTTTCTTTAAATAGTTACATGACATTACACTGGTAACCTATTTAAATGAGCTAAATCATAACAACAATATGCAATACATGACAGAAAACCAAGTGTTAACGTTTACAGTACCAGCTCTGTGCATGATTAATGAACACAAAATGTAGTGTCGAGTAAGTGCAAATGACAGTCCATACAGCGGCCTGAATCTCTCCCACACTGGCCCTGGGCCATTCTTATTGTTGAGCCCTGCACATTAAATTGCTTTTTTGTAAGCAGTGCAAAAATACTAATCTAAAGCCTTCTAGCATCTCTGGAATATGTTTGATTCATTAGGTGAAGTTTATACAGATAATGTGGCTGTCCTGGGGCAGTCAACACAGTATATTATGCTTGTTTATGTTGCTGACAAGTGTATTTCTTGCCCCTCAGGTTTACAAGGAGAGAGAGACTTATGTGAAGGAGTGGAGGAAGAGGAAGAGAATGGTAATGATCCATAAAAACATTTATTCACACGTCAGATTCTGCCCAGGAGACAACATGTCAGCTAGTTTTTAACGATGCAGCCATAAGGCGTGCCTTTATGAAAGTGCATTCATTTCATATTTACCTTGTGTCCTCAACACCATGGTTTATTTATGTACGAATGGAAACTGCTCTTGCACATTATGGTCTTTACTATCACTGCCAATGGTCAACTGACCTAACAAATGATACCTGTGATAATGCTACATAACTTACACTATACAGATAATTAGATATATATTAAGTCTTATGTACCATAACATGAAACTCCAAGCACGGCTTTTAAGTAATTAATGTCTCTTTACCTGCCAGGTTACCGATATGGTTGGATCTATTTTGGAGGGGTACCCAAAGAGCAAGAAACAGTTTCTGGTGAGTCATTCCCTTAAAACGGGTTTCCAAACTTTTTTGCAACAAATTTACTTGAAGTACCCCCTGAGATTTGACGTTAATATTTCAATTACAACATGTTTGCTTGTTCACGATTCTCTGATGTCAGTTAATGGTCACATGACATGCAAGTAAATAGATAAAATAGTGAATCTTTAACTCGTTTCAACTCTAATCACAAAAATGAAGCAATATATTACTGTTGTAAATGACAAATAAAAATGAATATTTGACAATAATTATAATTTTTACACTTCAAGTAATAATACTAATATTTATCTTAAATGCTTCACTTTTTAACATTCAAACCCTAGAGCCTTTATTTGACCATAATACTATTGAAATGCTGTAAACTTTAAAGGGGTCATATGATGCGATTTCAAGTTTTCCTTTCTCTTTGGAGTGTTACAAGCTCTTGGTGCAT